GGAGAGCTCGCGTGGTGGCGGAGCGGCGCACAGTGGGCCAGAAGACCGGTGGAGGCGGCCAAAACTCTGGACGCGTTTTGAGCTCCAGAGTCGCTAAGCACCACTCGAACCGAGCGAGTGACCCCACCTATGGAATCCTCGTTCGGAGAGCAATCCATCGCTGAGGTCACAAGTTCAGTTCGAGGCCTGTTTAGCGGCTCTGGAGCTCAAAACGCGTCTAGAGTTTTGGCCTCCTCCGCCGGTCTTCTGGCCCACTGTGCGGGGGAGCGGCGGAGCAGTGAGTGAGTCCCTCTCGGGCGGAGGGCGACATGTCAGGCCAAGAGTTTCCAAGTCGCGCGCGTAATACAGAGGGCTGCTTCCGAGCAGCGCCCCGTCATTGCGTCTCTCTCTTGCCCTCGCGGGACACACTGCGAGTGCGAGAGGGACGGGGCGATGACAGCGCCGCGCGGGGGACTCAGCCGAGCCGCGCGGGGAAGAAACTATTATTGTTTGCCGCGACGATTGAATAATTATTTCTCCCTCCCGCCGTGCTGCCCCTCCGGACCCGCGGGGAGGAGGCAACCAACCTGGCGGGGAGCAGTGGGAATGCCGCGGATGAAGAATTTGATAGGGGAAAAGTTCTCCAATAAAATTCAAGAAGCTGCGCCGTGCTGCGCAATCGGTGAGAAATGTGCCGAGAAGGCTCCGCACCCCGCCAGCCGCGTCGCGCCGCGTGGCGATGGGCGTCCAAGAATGACGTAACGCCGGCCTGGACTGCGTTGCCCAGTGGGTCGACAGCGCCACGACACTGGCGGCGAGCCTGCGAGGCTCCGGGTAGGCAACCCGCGCGACGCGGACGCGCGGCGTGCCGTGATTTTGCCTACCGGCCGGGCGGCCCGTCGGCACCAACATGTGTTACAGTGGCGCCGCGTCCTAGCAACGACTCAAATGAAGGCCGCCGCGGAGGGCATCGGCAAACACCTCTCCAGAGGCCGTCCAATCAGGGTGGCCCCGGGCAAGGCGGGCCCAGGCCCCGGGGGGCGCGTCGCGGCCTGGCGCTGTCCGTCGAGGCCGCCGCCAGAGGGTGCGCGCTGCGCAGACGGCAGACGGCGGCGGGGTCAATCATCCGAAGGCGGACGACGGCGGCGACGCGCAGCCGGTCGTTAAGCACACGACAGACAGAGACGGAGGCAATCGGGCGGCGCCGACTCGCTGACCCAGAGGGAGACGGGCCGCCAGCAACACTGTGTCCACAGTGTGTCCACACGCCGCGTTGATTCCGATTCTATAATACACAGGTAACGCCCGACGTATTGTCGGGCCTACAATGGGCGCGCGGCCGGGCCGTGTCGAGCCGCTGGTGATGCGACACGGGATTGTCCACCTCTCTCTCACCCCCGCGCTTTTGTTCCGGGCCGGCCTGTGTGGTCCTCCCCGTCGCACGCCCCGCCGCCCGCCCGCCCCGCCCCGCCCCGCCCCGCCACGCCCCGCCCCGCCACGCCACGCCCCGCCCCGCCCCGCCCGCCACGCCCCGCCCCGCCACGCCCCGCCCCGCCCCGCCCCGCCCCGCCCCGCCCCGCCCCGCCCCGCCCCGCCCCGCCACGCCACGCCACGCGACACGCGCGGCCCGTCACGGCACCACGTTTATCCGGCTCGCTGAAAAGCAAACGCAGCGACGGCGGGAAAGGGGCCGGGATTCAAACCGTCAAAGCGGCAGCCAGATTCGGAGTACACACTGCCAGGCTGGGAGAGAGGCAGCAGTAATTACCACCCTGACTCGGGACTCCCGGCGCGGCGCGGCTTGCGTCCCCAGTCTTGGCCGCGTGCCGCCTTTCAGGTTTTACAGTGGCACCACCTGTGTGAGGACGCCGAGGGTGCTCGTCGTCAAGGACCTCACCTTGCACCGACGCGACGACGGCCAGCAGCACGGCGAGCAGCAGGAACCGGCGTCCCCAGGGCCAGGGCCAGGGCCGGCCCGACGTCGAGGACGTCGCGACGGAGGCCATCATCCTGGTCACACTCTGTCACACCATCACATGTCAGCACTTTAGCATCACTGCGCTGCCGCACTTCCACTACACTCGTTGCACGGTAATCCTTTGGGGCACACACACACTGAGGCACTGACACAGGACACACACACACGCACGCAGCGGGGGCTTCTCCCCGGCGCGGGGCTCTTCGACGGCGACGTGCAGAGAGGGCGGGACGTCACAGGCGGTCACCGCGGCACGTAAAAATAAACGCAGACAATGTGGCACGCAGCACGGCGCGCGGCCGCGATCGACGTGTCGCTCTCCGAGACGACTGCCGGCAGCACGGCCAGGACGACGACGAGCAGCGCGAGGACCCTCCGACTGCCACCGCCTCCGAGGAGGAACTGAGTCCAAGTGGCGGTAGCTAGCAGACGACGCATCCTGCGGCCCGCGGCCGGGGCGCCGGCACCACCCTACTCCCGCGCCCCCGAGCGCCCGAACCCGCCGAGCCGAGCCGAGCCGAAGGTGGGGAGCGGAGCCGAGCGCCGCGGCGGCAGGACTCGCAGGACCTCTCCGTCGCACCGCCGGCGCGCCGTGGTGCTTCCCTCTGGCCAGCAGACCGGCCCGCGCTCTGGCGGCCAACGCGCGAAGCTAGCCGCCTCCGTGGCGGCAGGCGGCACTGCACCGCACTGCACCGCACTGCACCGCACTCGGCGCAGGTGAAGCAGTGCGACGCGCACCTTGCACCGTGCCTGCACATCGCGCAGCTTAATCAGAGCCTTCGGCGCTAGTTTCAGCCCCAGCGGCTGACTCGTCCAAGGCCGAGGTGGCGATTCGGACACGGCGGACTGGGCCGGCCCGGCGCGGCGGGGCTTAAGAAAATCCTCTCTATTTCAGACCGCCAGAGGGGCTGGGCGGGGGACGTGCCCAGTCATAAGTCCAGGGCCCCCAAAGGACCGAAGGGCCTGCTTCGCCCTGCTGCAGGTCGCGCAGACACGTTGACAAGCGACTTCGCCTCTCGCTCCATTTCCGAGCAGCCCTTCTGGCGCGCCCTCACGTTTTTACTGCTCGGTTTACACAGCGCCGCTTTCGCAAAACAAACCAGCCGTCTCCTACCACGCATCCTGGATTCTTTTTCAAACAGACTTCATTCGCCGAGGCCGAGGCCGGCTGTAACACTAGCTAACCCACACGGCGGCGCGACAGGACCTGCTGCCGGGCTTACAGGAGCTTACACCGGCTGAGCGGACGGCACGCGTGCACCGGCCGGCCGGCCGTTTTAACGTACTCCCCCGGAAGCACAAGCAGGCCAGCAGGCCGGCCAACACGGCGCCGAAAACGAAGAAAGAGGGACACTGCCGGGGAGTTTGGCGAGCGGGTAGAAAGGCAGCCAGCCGCAGAACGGCGCGCCGCTCTTGTGACAGCGAGCCTCGCGCAGGGCCTCCGTGCAACTTGACGCCGCCAGAGTAGTCGCCCGCGCCCCGCACTGTACGTAGTCGGATTGAGCGGCAAGAACGCCCAGCGAACGCCAGCGAACGCCAGCCAGCAGGACAGGCCGCCGCCCTCGACCCTGGCAGCTCTCGTCGGGGCCAATAAGGCACCAGCGAGCGCCACGCACACACGACAATCTGCTCGCAGTGGATAAGAAGGTCGAAAAATAGCGGACATCAACGACAAAAAGTTGAATTTGAAGAGCGTCGACAGACAAATTTCAACCTTCAAGACGTGCGTTTTACACATTTCCATGCGGCCGAGCTAATCTTGATCGTGTTCTCCGAGAAAAACCGAGCGCGGAAAAATGTTGCAGCTCATGAAACGGCTGGTGCAAAACAAGGAGCGTTGTCTGCCTGTCCGTCCGTCCGTCCGTCCGTCCGTCCGCGCGTCCGGGGGGAGGTGAGAGACCTCCGGCTTCCGGTGCACCGCGCTCCGTCTCTCTCGCACTCGCCGGGCAACCGCCACGGGTGCGAGAGAGACAGGTCGGGGCAGACGCCGTGCGTCGCGACGCGCTTCACCCACACGCCGCCATGCCGCGGCCGCGCCGCGAGGAGCAGCCTGGAGACCTCACCTCCTCCAGCGCACTGGGTGTGTGAGGGTGTCTTTGGCCAAGTACAGGAAACTTTTCCCCTCCCCCATAATCGCTCGTCAAATCCCCGTTTTTTCCCCCTCGCGACTCGAAGCCGAAGTTGGCCAGGCGGGATGAAAACAGCCGAACATTCGTCTTCGCGACGGACAGATTGCGAGTTCGGGTGGCAACGCACGTTTTCTGCCGTGGCCGGCGCATGGCGCGAACCGCTGCCATTTTGGTGTGAGCCTTGCTTGAGATACGACGAATTTCGGACTAAATTAAGTTGTTGGTGCTTGCGGTACTCGGTGGCTCCGGATCGGGGGGACGACGCGCGTGTTCCCACGTCGTGTCCTACGAGTCCCTAGCGACTTCAAGGACTGTGGGTACACACTCCCATGGATCCCTCAATTACATGCATTACGGTTTCCGGTTGAATAATCATACAAGGATTACCATAAAACATCGACATTTTTTTGAAAGTTTCGTCGAAATAGTGCATTTTGTGAATCCGAAAGTTCGTGCCATTCTGCAAATCAGTCCAGCAGGGTGCGTAAAATTCACGCCACTCCGCAAGTGGACCCAACGGACTTCTCGCCTGGGCTCGTTGAGCATAACGCCTGCATGCTGAGTGTGTAGTGTGTGTGAATGTGTAACGGGTGGTGGACAGGCCAGTACCCGAGGACCAACTGTTGGAAACGGTACGATATGCTGCCTGGTTGTATCGCATACCCACAGACGGACACTCACTCACTCACACACTCGCAGAGCGAGAGTGGGTGGACAAGAAGGGGGAGACGAGGGGGGCAGTGGGCTACCACCCGGAACCCCCGCCCCCCACCCTCCCATCTGCCGGCCGCCGCGCCGCGCCCCTGGCTGAGCCGAAGCATGGCGGCGCGCTGCACGGCGGCTCGCGCCAAGCCGCGCCACCGCCAGGCCCGCCAGGCCCGCCAGGGTGCCAGTACTCCTTCGTTCGCCGTGGCGGTCGCGTCGCGGCGTCCCGTGTCCGCGCCGTGTCCGCGCCGTGTCCGTGTCCGCCTCGGTGTCCGCGCGTGTCCGAAGAGTGACGCCGAGCCTCGGCCCATGGTGACGTCATCATGGCCGCCCTGGAGGTGCTGGCCGTCGCCCTGATGCTCGCCGTCGTCTGTCCCCCAGGTGAGCGCGCCGCCGAACGTCAAACGTCGAGCACGCCGAACACGCACGCCCTCCGCGGCCTCGGCTGATTATAAATACCGAGGCGATGACAGCGAACTGCAGCAGGGCCCACTCTCGAATCTAGGCTGCCGGCGGTCTTTACGAGCAGACGCCGTGACCTGGCAGTCTTCTGCGCGCGTACACACGCGCACGCACACGCACGCACGCTCACACAGGAAAGAGAAAATTAATTGGAAGTGGTGTGACAATCTGGCGGTGCGTCGTCCGGTGCGTGCGCGGTCTGCCTCCAACCTGACCAAGACGAGTAACTGGACGTCATTAATTTTTCCTTAATTTTTGTAAACATCTTTTCCACTTTTTTTACTGACCTCACCACGCCGCGAGTCGCGCCAGGACCAGGAGGACGTCCTTAGTCAAGCGCCGTAAAGTACGGTTAGAGGGACTGACGCGGTGGTTATTTGGACAGGGGGGCCCGGGGGCAGGCCAATTGAAGGGCCTCTGAGGGGGCCGGGGGGCGGGGCGAGGCGGCGGATATTCGGCGGCTTGTCTTGACAGAAATAGCTGGGTTAGCACGTAAACCGGGACAGGAAGGGAAACAATGCTGCTCTGAGCTCGCCTCGCCACCACCTCCATGGGGGCATCGAGGACGCAGCCCCGCGCAGCCCTCGCCCTGCGAGTCCTTGAGGCGGGGGCGGGCCGCGGCACTTCCTCCGCGGGGTGCTGCATGCTGATCCGATCCGTGGGTTCGAATACCGGCGCCGGCGTGGTTTGTTTGTTTTCGTTTTCGAGCCGTTCTCGCGGCCGTAGGCCTGCACTGTTTCGTGTTACACTCTTCAAGTGTGCGTGCCAGACTAGCAAATTATTTTTTACCGCATGTTTGCCATACTGCTAATTTGCGTGTGCGTTCGAATCTCCCGCCGGCAGCACCGCACCAGCCAGACGGACTGGTTGACGGGGTGGAGGCAGGGCACCGGATGGGGAGGGACACGCCCCCGAGTCCCCCAGCCCCCCAGCGGGCGGGCTTGCGGTCGGCCGTATTGTCCCCGCCGATGAAAGCGCGCGCCAAATTCAAAACTTGAAAAGGCCGCTTCGATGTTCCTCGTCATGGCGGTGGCTTTGTGGGCGGCGGCACGCGGTAGCATCACCCTCATGGTGCACGCCTGCCCTCCTTTCGCCTGCGTGCCGCCCCGTGCCGCGCCCCGCGCAGCGCGCACACTTTCTAGTCTGCTTCTCTCGCGCTACTGTACTCTCGAAGTCTCGAAGCGAGCCGAAAGCCGAACCGAACCGATTGGCCGTTGAGATACGTTTCCGGAGGGTTGGCCATCTCACTCCGTGGCCAACGCGCTTGCTTGTTTACCCGCCTAAATTGCCAGCGCGAGACCAGCGCCCTCTCGCGGCGTGTTTATAAACGCGCCGCGTGAAACCTCGCGGATGGCGCGCTGCGGGGGCGGGGCGGGGCGCGACGCACAGCATCCTTCGACGCCCCGGCCCAGTTTCGCAAAAGGGCCGCCGGATGACCATAAAGCTTTACATGTGGAGGCCGTGGCGAAATATAAAACAGCGCACCCTGCCCGGTCCCCAAAGAGCGCCACTGCATTGGCAGTCGCCTCTCTCCTCTTTCCACGCGCGCTCGTTATGACCGAAATTCAAATAAAAACATTTTTTGCAGATGACAGTTTTTTGTTCCAGAAAAATTACGCAGTTCCTTGAATATTTTACACACGCTGCACTAACTGGAAGCAATACAGGTTACGTTCTATTGCGGCCAAACCAAGCCAAAAAAATGTGGACGCAGTTTACCATTTCATCAATATTTACCAGGGCCAGGCACATCCAAAAGTGAAATCGCGCTGAATTTTTTTAAAGTGAGTTTTTTCGTCTGCGGCCGGCCAGTATGCAACCGCCATGCCATACCGCACTGCTGCCAACCCGGGGGAATAAAAAGAAGGAGCCGTCCGTCACAGGTCGCTTGCCCTCGCCTTCATCAAGCAGCGCCTCGCCTCGGACGCCTCGGACGTCGCGCTGCCCCTTGCCTCGGACGTCACCGCCGCCGTCGTGGAGGTCATCACGGTGTACCGCCACAATGGCGGCCCTTTCCTGCAGAGGGACACATTTCCAGTGATTCTTCCAAAACAAGCACGCGGCCTTGGCGGCGGTGGCTGTGTGTTTTCGCGCCGCGTTTCGGCGGGGCGAGGCGGGGCGGGGCGGGGCGGGGCGGGGCGGGGCGGGCGTTAGGGCGGGGCGTCGAGGCGGGGCGTCAGGGCGGGGCGTTCTCGGACGCGGCTCGGACAAAGGGCCGCGGCGCCGCGACACCCACGGGTCGACGATGACGAGCACGCCGCCAACGTCCAGGACGAGGTCCACGACGGCGTCCGGCAGCACCTTTCCGTTCGGCCGTTTCGGCAGTGTAGGATGAGTGGAGTCGTTATTCTAATGTGGCCGGTAAGGCAAGCCCGGCCAAGCCCGGCAGGCTGCGCGGTGGGGGCTGCGGCGCGTGGCGGGGGTGGGGGCGGCGGGGGGCGGCGGCGGCGGCGCTCGTGCGAGTCCAAGCGTGACAGGCAACCAGCACGGCGGGCACGGCGCGGAGCTGGCCGGGCGGTGCGAGGCACTGCGTGCACTGCGTGCGCGGTGGTACCGACGGTACCGGCGTACAGGGTGTCTCGGTGTCTCGGCCGAGACGCTGGCAGGTTCGCCCGCCTGGCTCGGCCGCTCCAAGGCCTGGTCAGAGCCCGGCCGGCGAGGCGTTCTCGCAACACGCCGAAGCCGCGCTTGGCGCCATGCAGGGCGATGGCGATGACGCGGCTTCCTGGCGCCAGGCGCGTAAACAGCGTAAACACCACGCGGCCCGCGGAATTGTCGCCTCGCGACGGACTAATTGAGCGCACGCGGCCGAGCCATGCCGAGCGGACGCAGCTGTGGAGGGGGTGCACCGATAGGGCAAGGTGACGATGACGATACAGTACCCTCAACATGAATGAACGAATGAATGAATGAATGAATGAATGAATGAATGAATGAATGAATGAATGAATGAATGAATGAATGAATGATTGGATGGATGAATGGATGGATGAATGGATGGATGAATGGATGGGTGAATGAAAGAATGAATGATTGGATGATAATAAGAAGATGATGATGGCGGATACTCATGAATGAATATGCATGAATGAATGATGATGAATGATGAATGATGATGATGAACGATGATGATGAAGTGATGACCTCAACGCAAACAACAACTCGATTTCGGAGACAAAAGAAAGTGGTGCTGGCGGTCCTCCAGAGGTTCCAGAGCGGCTGGGGCGTGTCCCCGCCGGGGCGGTGCCCGCCGAGCCCGCCGCTGTGACATGTGTCAACATTATTTCGAAACGGCGCGCGCGCGGTTGGATCTGCCGCCGCCGTGCGCCGGGCCCGGCCGGGCCGTGACACCTAGTGCAGGTGGGAGCCCACGGGGCCGAACCCACGGCCTGTCTCTGTCCCTCCGCGCGGGCTGCGGGCAAGGCTGCGGGCCGCCGCGTGAGTGCGACGGGGACGGCGACAGCCCCCCCGAACTTGAGTTATGTGCCGACGCACCCCGACAGTCAGGCGGAGCCGCGCCGAGCCGGCCGATACCACAGCCACTTCCGGTCCGGCCGGTGATTATGCGCCGAGTTTCGGACGCGGTCCGCTAGGGGGCGCCTCCGCCTCTCTCCAGTGGAGTGGCGATCGCCACACAATGGCAGGACTGTCGCGCCCAGTCACTCGGAGTCACTCGGAGTCACTCGGACCGCCTCGCCAGGATTGTCTCATCCTCGATTCGGCCGCCACGCGTCCTGCATGTCCTGGGAGGGGAGGGGGGTGTTCCTCGGCGAGGCGCGCGGACGATGACACTTCCTGCCGTTCGCTGCGTTCACTAATTCAGCGCGTGCGCCAAAGACTTCCTCCCCTTCCAGTGTGCCTCCAGCGCCTCCAGGCAAAACGCAGCACGATCACTGCAAGCCCGTGCGAGGAATACCGAGACTCGGGGCGGGGTCGAATGGCGCGGCCGGTAAGCGTTTTGAAGCCGAATCAACTCGCCAGTCGTCTTTACGGTGTCGCGATGCCCCTGCACTGCCACCCACACCACTCCACTCCGCGACGCAGCCCGCTCCAGCGCCCGCCTGATGTATCACGTGACACGTATTAGTCCCCCGTGCTCGGACGTGCCGCGGACGTTGCCGTGGACGTGCCCCTCGGCCGGCGCGGACGTGCCTTCCTCGACGCGCTGCCCGCCCCGCCCCGCCCCTCCTCGCAGTGCAGGCCCCGCGGCGCGCGCCGTGCACGGTCCGCCGCGTCCCCATGCACACCGTACTCCTGCACATCCATCCGGCGGCGCAGACCCCCACCAGCCAGCCAGCCGCCATTCCCGCAGCGCTGTGTTTCCGAACGAGACAATTGATCCATTTCTTTAGGAGTGTGGCAAGCTCGGTTGGTCAGTGATGGATGCTTCCATCGTGACACTAGCCTGGAGTCCCAGCCCTGCTCCTGGAGTACGTCGCGGTGCACGCGGCCGCGGTGCTGCATGAGCCGTGCCCGCATTGCGCATTCGCCAACTGTCGTTCGACGGAAGACCGTCCGGGCGGCGGCCGGGGGCGGCGGGGGCGGCGGGGGCGTCGGTCGGCCTTATCGGCGCGTGGAAGCCCCTTCCAGTGGACGCGCCACCGGCCGGCCGACCCGCAAGCCCGCAGCGAGTCGGTGATAGCGCCTAGCCTCTCTGCCGGGGCCGCCACTGAATCCCTGGTGGATGGCGACCGCCACCGGTGCTTTACAGACGGCCCCCGCGCTGCACGCGAGCCGCGCTCGGCGCCGCCAACGAGTGTCATTTCCACTACGCGTCGCGAGTCGCGTTACGGCGCGGCATTGTCACACTGCACGGCGTCGGGCGGTTAATTGTTACGTCATTAAGGAACACACCCCGGCGGGGGCTCCAAGGCTGCCCTGCCCAAGGCCTCCACGCCGAGGGCCTCTCGGGGCTGACCGCGGAATCTGGGAGGGGGTGCGGGACTCCGGTGGGACTGCACCGCAGGCCGCCGCCACCACGCGCCCACTTGCGCGCCGCTTTGCGGAGAACATGGAGAACCCCCCGAAGTGGCTTATGCCGGCACGGCGGCACGGCGCCGGCCTCCCCGTGATGTACCCCGCCCGCCGCCCCCGCAACCCTCCCGGCGGTCTGAGGTGTGAAAGTTTGCGCGCCAACCAGTCGTCTTGAAAAAGTTTAACTCGGAACACCCACCCCTCTCTCTCCCCCGGCTCTCCGAGTTCGAGAGCCGCGCTCGCCCGTGGGCACGCAGTACCCGGGGAAGGACCCCTGCGAGGACGCCGGCAGGGCCTGGCCCCCGCCGCCGTATTCTGGGTCAAATTGAGGGTCTCTGGGTCAGAAAAATAGAGAAGTTTTAGCGCGGCAACAAAGCACGAAAGCAGTCCGTTTCCAAGAGCCTTCCCGTCCCTTCGGCCCAAGGGCTAATTCTAGACACCCCAGCCAGCGAGGCACTGCTTCTCGTGCTCCACAATCGGCGGCGTCCCCGTGCAGGGCGAGCACTCGGACGCGCAAATAATTTCTGCCGCATGACATCACCGTCCTCGTCGCCGACGTCGTCATGAATTTCTCATCCCCGCCGCGCTGCAGCTCCCGCCTGGCCGTGGCGCTTTCGGACTCCACTGTCAGCGCGCCGTCGAGCTGAATTTCTCATAGCCGCGTGTCTTGGCAGAGGCGGCGTTTCCGCGACTCGTCCGGGCACCGTTGCCAAGCAAGCCGGCGAAGTTCGGCCGAACGCACGCCGGGTCTAACGAGATCGTTTCTCTCTCGTCTCTCCTCGCGAGACTATGGGGTGTATTTCTGACCCGGCGCCGCTCCACTGTCATGACATGGCGACCTCCGCCGGCCGGCCTTCGCGTGGACAGCGGCCGACCAATCACAGCGGGGCGCGGCGCCCGGCCGCAGACGCCGTTCCGTCGGCCCTTTGAAATCGAGAATGCGTATTTAAGATCGGATTGTCGCGAGCAGACGGGCCGCGCCGCCGGGTGCACGTCCGCGTCGTCGGCGCCGCCACCGCGCCGCCACCGCGCCGCCACCGCCTCGACGACCAACTTGGCCGGCGCCCGAAACAGCTGAGCGCAGCGGGGCGTCGAGCTCGTCAAGCGGAAGGGAAGGCCGACGCACGCCGCCGGATTTACAGTGGCAGGCGGCGCTGTCGGGGGCGGGACGTCGCCGTCGACGACATGACCCGCGCGATGCATGTCCTGGAAGCGCCGGCCTGCATGGCGCCTCCAATACCCCACGACGCGAAGGGCAGCAGCCCTCCACACGCAGAAATATTGTGCAAGGTTTGGGCGGCCGCCAGGGCCGCGAGGATAGCCCCACACTGTATTTATAGACGAGGTCCGCGTCGTCGCCGTCCGAGCCCTAGAGCCGCCACCGCTAGGCAACAGCCGCCGCGGCGACGCACCGACGCCGACGGAACTGCCCAGCCAGCGTGGGGTATCGCGGGTGGCGGCGGTCCCTCGCGCGCGGAGTAGCGCTGCTGGAGTATCCGCGCGGCCGCGTGGGGTAGCGCCGGCTCTCGTTGTTGGGTTGTTGGCGCGGCGTGACCAGGGCGTGACACTACTCCCCCTGTTGCAGGCTGCTCGTCGCTGCACATCGGCCAGCTGCAGGTCCCCGGCCCCATCCGCAACGGCAGCGTCAAGGACGTGGTCCTGGACTGCGACTACGAGGCCACCAAGGCCGACGTCGGCATCGTCATCAAGTGGTTCCTCAACCAGCTGGCCGACCCCAAGGCCGACCCCAAGGGCGAGCCCACGCTGGTGTACCAGTGGATTCCGGGCAGAATACCCCAGGTAAGTTGGCGGCAGTGCAGGCTGCGCCCTTAAGCGGCGTGCGTTGGGTGGCCTACGCAGCCGGCGCTGTGGCGAGCTCCGGAGCAGAGACTGCTCCCTTAAGCGGTGTGCGTTGGGTGGCCTACCCAGCCGGCGCTGAGCAGCTTGACTTGCCTTATCGCGTTTGCTTGCCCCGACAGGCCCTGGGTCCGCTCAAGGGCAGGGTGAACCTGGGCTACCGCGCCACGGACGAGCCCTCCACGAGGCACCGCGCGCTCAACATCGTCAACCCCACCATCGAGCTGAGCGGCGAGTACCGCTGCCAGGTGTCGTCCCTGGACGGCGAGGACAGCCGCGCCAAGAAGATGATCATTTACGGTGAGTCGCAGTGGATCGCGGAACCGAAGGGTGGCTGCCTGCCCGGTGCTGATTGTCTTGCTTTGCAGTGCCGGAGGACAACCTGGAGCTGACGCAGAGCAAGGCCTCGGAGGAGGGCCAGATCAGGCTGTCGTGTGAGGCGGACGGCGTCTTCCCCAGGCCAACGCTCACCTTCATCCAGAAGCCCGTCGAGTACGTCGTCCACCACCAGGATCGTGAACGTTTTTCGAAATTTCACATCAAGTTCAACTTGCTCACTGTCCGCCTGTTGCAGCTCCTTGAACGCGACGGTGATGGAGGGCGCCGAGGTGCGCGTCACGGACCGCCTGGACGGCCTGTTCGACATCGAGGCCGACATGGTGGTGGACGCGGCCGCGCTGGACGACGGCCCCGAGATGGTGTTCGGCTGCGACCTGGAGATCCCGGACGCCGACATCCGGCTCGTCAAGTGGGAGCGCTACGAGTCGAGTGAGTGCGCGGCATGTTGCGGCCTAGTGGGTGTTTTTCGCAGAAGCTTCGCTCCGGGGCGCCGCCAACGGTCCCCGCGACGACCTGCTGCTGGTTTCTGTGTTCCTCACTGACCCGCTCGCCCCGTGTTCGTCCCAACGCTGTGCGCTGCTGCTGGCGCGCTCGCTTGCGTAGCTAACCTCTCGCTTCCACCAGGGCGGCCCACCACCACGACCACCACCACCACGGACCCGCCCCCCGACGACGAGGGCGCGGCAGACGCCGACGGCGTGCCCATGGAGAGCATGCACCGCGCCGCGGACGGTAAGGAGCGCAATGGCATCCCGCAGCACGTGCACGACGTGCACGACGTCCAATGCATGGAAAATGGCACAGCTTCCGCCTTAAAGTTCCGCAGCTTCCGTCTCATGCACAAGTTCAAAGCCATGTGCGGCAGATGTAAGTAAAGTTGTGCTCGCCCAGTGCTATGATTGTTGTTGTTGCTTACTCGAGCGCTAAAAGTCTGCTGAGGCCTTTGTGGCTTTGTGGTCCTGGCTGAGAAAAAGGGGGGGGGGACTGCTCTCCTGGAGCGTGTAGGGCCTCACTCAGGTGGCGCGCCGGTAGGTAGGCCACCCAACGTTCACGAGAGCGCTCCGTGTGCGGGTGAGGCCCTGGATTTCAAGCCAGAAACTGTATGCCTTAATTTCATACTCAGCGACTTCGTTTCATAGCGATTGTTGGGGTCTGTTTGGCTTGAAAACAAGTTCTTGTTTCTAACGCAGAATGAATAGTCGGTAACATTTGTAGTTGCCTGTGACTGCTTGCAAGTGGTTTTAGAACGCTTTTTTAAAGTCTGCTCCCTAGTGAGTTCAGGCGGTTCAGCTCGCGTGGACGCCCTGCTGGTTCAGTCCGCTTGAGCGATGGCGCGGCCGAGCGGGCCGGCCGGGCGCTGGTTCGAACACCGTCCGTCCGCGTGCTTTGATTTCTTTTCTGGTCCGCCCCGGTCGGTCCGCCCTGTTCCCTGTTGACTCTGGTCGCGGCTGGTCGAGGCTGGCGGGCCGGCCCGGCGGCCTGACTCTGGTTCACTCTGGTGTCTTGTTGTTGCAGTCTCCGGCGCGGCGGGCTTGGCGCTAGCTTCCAAGCGACTCTCTCTCCTCCTGCCGGCCAGCCTGGCGTCCAGCCTGTCGGTGTGGGCATGGTCTTCGCGGCCGCGGCTCTGAGCGAAGGGCCGACAGGGCCGACAGGCAGGGCCCAAGGGCCTCCCCGCCGATCGCGCCTCGGCCCGGCCCGGACGGCTCGGCTGGGCTCGGCCCGAGCGGCGCTCGGCTCGGAGCGTGCCGTGGCGTGCCGTGGCGTGCCGGGCCCTGCCCGGGCTGCCGCGGCCTGGTCTCGTCAGGTTGGTATCCCTGGTATCCTTATGCTGTTTGAACAACGATTAGTGGTTTGCTGCAGTGCCCTGGCAGTGCCCTGGCAGTGCCCTGGCAGTGCCCTGGCAGTGCTGCGGTCACTGGGAAAGGTGAGGCGGCAATTACACGCACTGGATTGGATTGGATGGCGAGCCACGCCGGCAAGCCGCGCCGCCAAGCCACGCACGCCATGGCGTACTTTCTACCGGTCGCGCCTGCCCGCGGCGACGAGGAACGCCCGCGGAACGCCCGGGAACGCCCGGGGAACGCCCGGGAACGCCCTCGGGGCTCATGCGTGTCGCGGGCTGTGTGTGTCCTCAGGGATCGTGGGATCAAATACCGAACTGAAATGATTTTAGTTCCCTTTTCTTCCGTTCCGTTTCTTCTTCTCATGCAAGTGGAATGTACCTGTCCGCCCGCTTAGATATTCCTTCCAAGCCATTTTCTGGTGTCATTCTTCTTCTAAATTCGAAAACGTTGTTCATCTGTCTTTTTTTCCAAAAGGCGCAATTTGACCATGTTTTGTTTATGTTGCAGTTGCTGCGTTGGAGATTAAGGACCCAGCTCGCTTGTGATGCTGTGCTTTGGCTGTGCCTCCGTCTTGGAGATAATAAGATCACGACCCCCTTTTACGATCCACTTTAGTCACTGTTACTTAACTGCCTGTCGTTTTCTATGCGGTAGGCAGGAATCAAATTTGGGCCTCCCGTTTTTCTCTCGAGCAGTGATCTTGATTTTCCCCGTGCGATTTGTTGTTATCGATGTTTTAGCGTAAGTGTGTTATGTGTTCTCTCGTTTGAATGGGCGTAAATATTAAATTGCTGAAAACACAAGTACGAACTAGTCGTTATCGTAACAAAATGTATTTACAAAAGTATAACAAAGAAAAATGTCAACAACGGAGCACAAACAGATGCTCCAAATAATTTAACAACAGTCTCTCTTGCCAAAAGAGGAACGTCAGACTTCGCGATGTACATATGTTTCCTTTTATAATTTATACTGTATGTTTCATAAATTATTTTTACAAGAATAATGTTAAATATAACGTTCTACCAACAACTACATGAGTCTTTTTTTCTACAGAACTGTATGGTACTAACCAACAGATATCACAAGTCACAAAGCAACAACAAATACAAACAAACCAACAAACAAAACTCGTCATTCTTTTACCAGTTCATGGCAGTGCACTACGTATCTCCATTAGGCTCTCTAGTGTACGCACAGATGATCAAAATGGCATGAGGCTCAGTAATGCCTGACCGCCTCATAAAAAAGGACACTCTAGTGAAAGGTTCATGGCGTGCGGATGCTCAGACAGCGCACCTCCAAACAGCGACACTCCTTTGTACTTGTTTTATGACCTTGAGCCTTCCCCCTTCCACCCGCTAAACAGAATAATTAAATACACACATCGGCCACAGCACTCACTACTTCTTACAGGCAACTATCCAGGAAACCGTGTCCGCGCCAGTGTCAATAGAAACAAACAAAAATTTGTGATTTAAAAAAATAGAAATCTCGTGTTTTGAACCCTGGGCATTCCACGTGGTTCGGTGCCGGCCATTTCTTTTCCAAGTGGCTGGGCGTAACGACCCGACGCGGAATGGAGGTCTGGCGAGGACGCGGCTTGGTAACAGCCTGGCGGAATCGCGCGGGGCGGGTCGCTCCTCCAGCGAGCCGCGCAGCCGCACGTAAACAGTCAAACAGTCAGACAAAGGCTTCACAGCGGTCCATTCCGCCACTTGGTCACTGCACTAGTCGTCGCTGCTGGGGTGCACGGGCTTGCCGTCCTCCTTGATGGGCGTGGAAGGCACCAGCGGCGGCTTGAAGCCGCCGTACTCGATGCACAGCTTGCGGAGGTTTCCGCGGTGGCGGCCCTGGCCCTGGTGGGGGCCGCCGCGCCGCGAGGACCGCCCCTTCCAGTGTGCGGGGTACATGCTGTGGCTGGGCCGGAAGGAGAACACGTGCTCGGCGCAGTGCACCACCTTGTCGGGGTCGATGCCCGGCACTGCCTTGTGCGACGTGGCCGTCACCTCGTCCTCGGACACGGCGTGCGAGATCTTGTACTTGTGGTGCAGCTGCTGCGGGTGCTGCTGCTGCGACTGCTGCTGCGACTCGGAGAGCTGCAGGTCCTTGATGGGCAGCGCGATGTAGTGCTGGAAGGGCAGCAGGTGGTGCGCGCCGTGCGCGCCGTGCGGCGGCGGGTACTGCATGGCCATGAAGGGGTGCGAGTACGGCCGCTCCAGGTGCACCAGCCTCGTCACCTGCTCGGGGTTCGCTGGCGGCGGCGGTGGCGGCGGCGCGGTGTGCGCGGCGGGCACCTTCTCCACCTCCACGAGCTTGGTGGGCGCCTGGTTCTCCTCGACGCGCACCAGCCGCGTCACGTCCGCGGCCATCTGCTGCACCAGCGCCTCCAACTGCAGCTTGTTCTCCTCGGGGAGGGCCACGTCGGCGGCCTCGAGGTGCTGCTGCTCCTGCTGCAGCACGGCGTGGTGCTGCGGCGGCGGTGGCAGCAGCAGCGCGTCGTGCATCACGCCGGGCACGGCCTGCTGCAGGAAGTGCGCCTGCTGCAGCATCTGGAAGGGCAGCTGCAGCGTGAGCGGCTGCAGCAGCTGCACGTGCTGCGGCTGCGTGTCCGTCACGCTCTGCTGCAGGTCCAGGTCCTGGGGGTCCTCCTGGAGCTGCTCGTGGCCCGGTTGCACCTGCAGCTGCAGCTGTTGGTCCTGCTGAGCCTGCAGCTGTTGGTCCTGCTGAGCCTGCAGCTGCAGCTGGTGGTCCTGCTGAGCTTGCAGCTGCAGCTGGTGGTCTTGTTGCGCTTGCAGCTGAAGCTGCTGGTCCTGCTCGGCTTGCAGCTGTTGGTCCTGCTGCAGGCGCAGGTTGTGGCTCTGCAGCGGAATGCGCATGAGGTCGGGGGTTTGCTCCTGGATCTGCTGGATGTGCCGCTGGTCCTGGAGGTCCTGCTGCAGCTGCTGGTCCTCGAGGACCTGCTGCTGGTGGTGCAGCTTTCGCGCGCGGTGCTGCTGGTCGTTCAACTGTTGTTGATCTTGTTCTTGTTGATGATCTTGTTGACGTTGTTCATCCTGTTGTTGTTGTTGCTGTTGTTGTTGCTGCTGCTCCTCCAGGTCCTTGAGGTGTTGCTGGTGCCGGAGGATCTGCTGGTGCTGGCTGATGTAGTAGCCAGGCGCGTGCACGGCGGCGGGCTGCGGCACGTGGTCGTCGTCCGACACCTTGACGGCGTCCAGCGTGATCTCGGAGGGCACCTCCACGGACTTCTGCACCTCCACCTCGGTCCGGTAGTGCGCCTCGTACACGGCGCTGCTCTTGTGGCTGGTCATGCCCTTCTTGAGCTCGTGCTGCTGCTGCAGCTGCTGCTGCTGGAGATCCTCGTCGTCGCGGTGCTGCTCGTCGTCGGACGCGGACGCCGGCGGCGCGAGGTACTGGTGGCCGTCGTCGGTCACCTCGAAGGCGTTGGAGGCGGCGGCGACTTGCTGCGCGTCCTGGCCGTTGGTGACGACCGGCCGCGGGGTGATGACCACCGTGGGCGTGGACGCCGTGTCCGAGCCCCCGGCCGCGGTCGTGCCGAGCGAGGACGGCGCGGACGGCGCGGACGGCGACGACGCGGACGCGGCCTCGGGCGTGACGGTCACGGTCGAGCCGAACGAGTACGGCGGCGTCGGCGTGGTGGACGAGACGCGGAGGCCGTGCTCGCTCACGACGATGGGCTTGAGCGTGGTCGGCGACGGCGCGGCCGAGGTGGCGCCGGTGGCGCTGGTGGCGTCAGCCAGGCCGTTGCCACGCTCGTCCGCGTCCGAGATGACGTAGGCCGAGATGGAGTCGGCGCCCTTGAGCGCCTTGAGGTTCGGCAGCGTGGCCTGCTCGTCCCTGGCGGCGCCCTGGGGGCCCTGCGCCGCGGCGTTGGTGTCCGCCAGGAAGGACGTCACCTGCACGCCGCGCTGCCCGCTGATGTCGTTGGCCACGTCGGGCAGGTCGCTCAGGTCAGGCAGCAGCCCGGCGAACACCTTCCCGGGCGGCGTCGGCGTGGACGTCGGCGACGAGGGCCCCGACGGCCCGGACAGCCCGTCGACGGCGAGGGCGGGCGGCAGCAGCGTCGCCGACGGCGTGGGCAGCGGCGCGGCGGGGGCGAGCAGCGACGTGGCGGGCACGCCGAGCTCGCCGGGCTCCCCGGACGCCACCGCCTCGGACGCTGGCAGCGCCACTGGCACGGCCACCGGCACGGCCACCGGCACGGCCGCGGGGACCACGGCGACGGGCTGCAAATTAATCAACGTTCCAGTTTAAAATTCCGAGTTTCCATCTCCGGCCGAGTCGCTCCGCTCCGGGCCGCTCCCGGCCGGGCAGGCGGCCCGCCCCCACCCCCACCCCCTGGCCGCCACGGCCGCCACCTGCTCGTCGTCCCGGAGTCCCGGACACAGCCCGTCGCATTGAAGCGAGCCTAATCAGGACGGCGTCATTTAAAGGCTGATGGATAACAGGCGCGGCCTTGTGTGAGTGCGAGTGAGACCGCCAGCACCTTCGGCGCGGACGGGGCGCGCCTCCGAGGCCTCAGACGGCGGCGGCGCGGCGAGGCGCTTTCTCGGACGAGCCGATATGCGTTCCGTGACATCAGCATGCGGACAACCGCGACAGTGCGGCGCGCCGGCCGGGCCCAAGTCAAGAAGAACGCGGAATTATTTTTTTTTTGTTTCCTTGCGGCCGATGCGACTGACTGTGAGTGGAAGCGCGCGCTTTGTCGCTCTCTCGCGCCCCCGCGGGCCGCCCCTGGAGTGCGAGAGAGACGGCGCGAGGGAGCCGGCGGGGAAAGGCGGTCCGAGGCCTTAATTGCAACCTTTAACACAGAAGTCACCGCGGCTCGCTCGTTTAGCGGTGGGCGGGGCCGGGCGGGGCCGCTGCCACTCCACTGGCGCCAACTTGTGAGGACTCTCACACATTTGTCCGGCACGCACTTGCATCGCGTTGCATGGCGTGGGCACGGCGCCAGCGCGCTGTCTCTCTCGCACGCCGTCATGGCGCCCCCCGAGCGCGAGGGAGATAGACTCGAAGGTCCGCGCCACTCATTGATACGCCGGGCTCTCTCCCACAATGTCCATTACCATTCGCACTGCTTCCGTGCATTCATCAGCCGCTTTCACCCAATTCACGGCAACAACATCGCGGTGCATTTTACACACAACCGATACGACAGAGACAAAATTTCAGAGGGAATCACTCTACTACCCTGCAAAAAAGAAATCAACTGTAAGAAAGCATGAAATTCCTGGGAGTTGTGGCCCAGTTTCCTGCTGGGTGCATATGCCCATAATGGCTGTCCTCAGAGAAAACGTCTCTTCCGTTGTCCGGCCTGGGGCTGTGCCGGGAGGCGGGGGCACGGCGACGAAGGGAGACGCGCTGCCGTGCAGACCCTGGAGGGGATGTCCATTAAAGTCGCCTCGGTTCGACTTGGACTGATTTTAAGCCAATCTTTAACCTAAGCCGGGCACAAGGCCGGGCAGCTTTCCCTTCCTTCCCACGGAGGGTGCCGCGGCGCGTATGCATCACCCTGGGCTCCTTTTTCATAAACATACCTTTCGAGTATGGCAAATTATTGAGTCGTAAGCCTCCGCCGTCCGCGTGACGCAACAATGCGAGTCTGACGTCATCGGGTGGTTACCTGGTCTGCAAACTCTTTTCGTTTTTAGTCAAATACTGTGTCGCCCTGCTGTCAAAGTCGCGTGTCGCGCCTCACCTGTGAGAGTCTGTCTGTCTCGCTCTGCTGCAACAAAGCAATCGCATTTACTTTGGCCCGGAACCTCGCAGAAAAGTCCACACGAGTCCGAGGATACGTCACCCGTGTGAAGCTACCCATCGGCAGTCCACGCAAAATCCCGACTCAAAAAAAAATAAATGTGAATTAAGTCTGAAATTGGGAGCGATCTAGACTAGGTTTTGACTCAACCCACCTGAGCTTGTTGTTGCTGCTGCTGCTGTTGCTGCTGCTGCTGTTGTTGCTGCTGCTGTTGTTGCTGCTGTTGGTCCTGCTCCTGCTGCCGCAGCGCCGCCACCGCCTTGCCGCCCAGCGCGAACTGGGCCGTGGTGACGGCCGAGCCGTGGTTGGTGGTGTAGGACACGATGGGGTGGTAGCCCCAGCTGTCCGTGATGAAGCTCACCGTCTGCTGCAGCGACGTGGGCCCCATGGCGTTGTGCCCCATCGGCACGCTCACGAAGTAGCCGCCCAGGGTGTGGGGGCCCTCGCGGCTCTCGACGCGCCCTGAGTGGCCGCCCAGCCCGTCCAGCACCGAGTACTCGTACTTGTACTTGGACGAGTCCTGCAACAGCGTGCAACAGCGTCGTCAAGTTTCTCATCAAAACACAGAAGCATGGCGGTACACTGGGGGAAATAGTGTAGAAAGTCGATCCGAGTCGGTGTAACTCGATGGAGCTCGTCACGTGCTGCGCGCGCAGCGCCGCGAAGCTTGGCGGCTCTTAGCACCTCCGGACCGCCGCGCCGCCGGCCGCGCGGACGGGTCACGTGCCATCGCTTTCAAGCCGCTCAACCCCGTCAATAAAACGAACGGCCAGAGAGGGAGGGAGACAGAGATAGCCTGGCAAACAAATAAGGCGCGCAGGTGCCCGCAGCTGCCGGCACTGTCCGCCTCTGTCCGGCGGCGCCGCGGCGCGCCGTGCCCCGCTCGGCCTGCCCGGCGTTGTTGTCGCAGCGTGCCTCCCGGCTCGGCCACCTCCGCGCACAGCCTAATCTCTCCCTGTCCGGCACGTTTGGCCAGCACGGCCTCTCCGAGCAAGGGACGCACGCCTCGTAGGAAGAGATCGCATCCGCACGGCGGCCGCCCTCGTCACGGCAGTGCCAACTACTGAAAATGAAACCTGCGTCCTATCTCGGCAACAACGTGCGTCACGAGCGCTGTGCACTGAAAACTAGGGAAATTAAATTAAGAAGGTGAGTGACTGCGTGCAGGACACGCCCACACCTCGCCGTCGAAGAGATAAAGACACCAAAAGCTGGAACGGCGGCCCTCGCGCTGTCGCCGCGCCGAGGACCGAGCGAGGACCAGGGCGTGGCAGAGCGGGCAGAGGTCCGGCGGGGGTGTTGCCGATATGTATCTGTACGTAATAGGCTGTGTAGAGGACGGGAAAGCGATGGCGCCCGGCCGGGCTCAGCCAATCCAAACAACTTTCACTCCCCATGCATAAATATACGTAGGCGTTACTCTTTTTCGAGCCCGGCTTTTGACTTTGCAGAGTCACTTAACCTCTCCGGCCGGCCGGCCGACCGCGTTGTTTTGTTTGTGGATTTGGCCGCCGGACGTCCGCTGAGTCTGCAAACCCCTTCAGAACTGGACGCCGTTTCATTCGGCTTGACAGAAGTAGCCCAAGGAGAACAGGTAGTCAAAATCTGGCCACCACGACATCAAATGATGTTATTTTGCCGTCAACATGGACTAAATTTTGACTAAAATCGTTCATTTTGTCGTCATATTGACATCATTTGGACAGTTTGTTCTCCCTGGGGAGACTGTTTGCTTTTAAAAGCAGTTCTCAATACGCCTCCAACGTTAAAAATATAAAAATAAACAGAGAACTTTTTTTGCGGAAGTCTTTGCGAATTTCACGTTGCCGCGTGTGGTCTTGAAACAGCGCCGTCGGTGAAACCCTGGTGTTGGCGCCGCGCTGTGGGGGTTACGATGTTGCACCGTACTGGGTGGCCGGATTGCCTCGGGGCATAGCCTGAGGCACTGCCTGCCCCGAGGATGCCCGATTGCTGCCCTTTGACTGAGACAATGCCCTGCGTTTACACTGCGGTGCACAGCCATCAACGTTCCATCGCTCCGCATTTTATCGCATTCGGTAAACCGACACTGCCGACAAACTGGTGAAAAAAAAACTGCGTGCACTTATTTTTCCATTTTTTTTTGGTACACGTGCGCGGAGAGACGCAGTGACGAAAAGGAGAGGCGAAGAAGAGCAAGAAGAGCACGAGGGACGAGGGGAGGGGACCGGCGTCGTTTTCCCGCTTTTGCGAGAAAGCTACAGAGTGCGGCGTGGCGGCATCGCGGAATGCGACGCCACTCTGGCGGGAATCCGTAAGTTATACGCCCTGCACTTTACTTGCATTGGCCGGCATTGCTTGCCATTGCTTGGCAGGGCCTGGCAGTGCCGCGAGCCGAGGTCGTTTTTACTAATTGAGGCGTCGACGTGGAAGTGCTTTCTTGCGACCGAGGGTCGTTTTAGTTTTAAACGCAGGGGAATCAAGGACCAGACTGTACGCTGCGAAAAAGGGCCCAAATAAAGCAAAACTAATCATTAAATGTTCTGCTGCCGGCGCTCTTGCAGAAGACCAAGTCCATGTAGGTCACGGTGCGGATCTTAGGGCGGTATCTGATCGCCTTCATCACCATTTTGTGTGTTTGTTAAAAACGCCTCATCCAGTCATTTTAGATTTTAAAAAATCGACTCACCGAACACACTTGAAACAAAATGAAACAACTTTTTTGAAAGTGTACGGTGAATCTGTGAGCTGGCTGTGGTACCTGGCGACACGGCGTGACACGGCATGTCTGGTCTGCGCCCTGTCTCTGTCGCACGTGGCCGGCGCGACAAGGATGGCGTCGCCTTCAGCCTCCGAGGCGCGAGTGGCTCTGGGCGGCCGCGCTGGCTGGCCGCGCCGGGAACGAATCAGAATCACTATGTAAGCGCAGGGCCCTCGGGGCTCCCCCCTCCCCCTCACTCTCAGGAGTGCAGAACAAGCGCTGCTGCTCGCTCCGGAGGACAACAACACACGTGATTCTGTTCAACACACTGGCTACTGCCGGCTCGCTAGAGGCCGCGGTACAACCACGACACTGCCTGCTCTGCTACGCCATGCACTACAAAAAACAACACAAAAACTTGTTGACCGATAAAGCCAAAAGTCCAATTTTTCAAACTCAATTCCACGAGAAGCAAGTTTGCGTATCGAGTCTCTCTCGCTCCCCTGCGGAGGGCGCCCCGAGTGCGAGGGAGACAGACGCGGCGCTGCTGGAGTCGATGCCCGTAATGTATTCGCGAGACACGCAGCACGCGTCGCGCATACATTAAAGTCAAGGGACGGGTTAAATTAATTGTCAGCATTAATTAGCATTCAAATCGATTCAAACCACCGTCAGTCGTACATCGTGATTACAAAACGGAAGGCTGCCGATTCCTTGTCACTTACTGAAGACGGTTTTAATTTTCTCTTTTTCCGTTTTATTTTAAGAATTGTTTTTGAAACGTGCGTCTCCGCTAGTGGCCATCACGTGGCTTCTCTCGCGAACGTCAGGTTGCGTTTGTCGGCCATCCAGTCCGAGTGCGTGTGGCGGACGACAGGTGGCGCCACCGTCGTGTCACCGCCGCGTCGAAATGGAGGCGACATGACAGCCAGGCGAGATAATCAGCGCCTTCTACTCGCTGCCTTGCTTGCTGAGCATCTTCTGGAGAGCAGAGCCCAGATTTTGTGTTCAGCCAGTGAAGCCGCTTGAATTTCCGAATGGTTCCGAATGGCCTGGCCAGCCGGCCTTGCCCCGTCAGTAGTATGCACAGGCCCATGCCACTCGCGCCCGGTTTGGTTAGCGCACACGTTACCGGGGTTGCCTGCGACTAGCCTACGACGCTGCGATACCCAGAATGGCCCGGCATGGCTGACGGCGGGTGTGCGGTGAAAGGTTTCCTGCTTGGAGGCGAACCAGGCGGACTGATACACACAGACAGACCGACAGACGGAAAGGAAATCCATAGGCACAACGTATCGTTGCCAAAGGAGAGTCCGGAAGTGCGCGGCGGGCCGGACAGACGCGCCGCCGGCCAGCCCGAGCAGCCAGCCCGGCGGGACAGGACCAGCCGGACCAGCCGGCCGGCCGCCAGCGCTTACGCAACGCTGTCAAAACCACTTAACGAATTATTGCCGCGGAGGCATGCGCGCCTTGCCTGGCCTTGCCGCTCTCCTTGTTGTCGTCCGGCCCGGTCCGGCCGAGTTATGGCCAAAATACCGCGAGGACGAACTGGGGCTGGTCGGGGCGAGAGTGTGTGTGTGCCTTACGGCGCGTCTTGCGTAAGTCCCGTTCGACGCAGCGCGCGAATTTTCCGTCAGTCCCGCGCAAAAGAGCGGCCGGCACATGTTTGTTTGGGACTGTGTGTGCTAGTGCACGTGTGTGTGCGTGTCTTTGTGTCGAGGGGGGAAAGTGAAAGATGCGGGGACCTTCTCGCCTCATCTTGGAGGTAGGCCGCAAGCAGAATGGGTCTGCATGTCAATAGAAGCAGGGACGGGGCCCCCTCCCTCCCCGCGGGGCCCGCCGGGGGGCGTACCTTGGGGGCTTGTCACTACGCCGCTGCCTGTCACCGTGCCTGGCCGTGCCCGCCACTGCCTGGCTGTCGACTGGCTGTCGGCTGGCCCGGGGGCACATCAGAACAACGGGCTGAGCCGCCCGATAGAAAGCTCGCCTGTCCTGTACTACTGGTATTGTGCCCCCGATGCGACGCCGGCGTGCCGTCGGGCTGCCTTCGGGCTGCCTTCGGGCTGCCGGCCGCGAGGACACACCCCGGCCGATGGAGGCGACCATGGATATGACTCGAACCGAACGTGCGACTCCACCAATGGATTCCTCGTTCGGAGAGCAATCCATTGATGGGGTCACACGCTCGGTTCGAGGCTTATTAGCTTCCCTGGAGCTCAAAACACGTCTACATTTTTCGCCGCCACCGCCGTTCTGCTGACCCACTGTCCAACGTGGACGGAGCAAAGGGCTGGGAAAGCACTCCAAACCTTCGCGAAACCGTCATCTTCGCAGCGGCGCGAGCCGAGACGCCGCTCTGCTTGGCGTCCGTGTTTGGCGCGCGACTTGGCGCAGTGTAGGAACGCGGCGTACCAACTTACCAACATGGAAATGAGGCAGGCCGCGGCGGCCGCGGCGTCTGCCCGCAAAGCCAATGCCCATGTTGGGTTGGCAGCAACGGCAGCGCAGCCACGCGACCGCCTACCGCGACCAGCGTCGCCCGAATTCCGCGAAGCGAGAGAGAGAGGGAGGGGTAGCCCGCTGACAGCGGTGCGCTCGCTGCCGTTGGGTTGCCTATCCCCGATTTCGCAGGGGCTTTCTGCCGCTGGTCTCTAATTGTTCTTCTCTCTCTCTTCCTCGACTTATCCCCGCGGGACGCCGCGCGGCACGTAACTCCCGTTAAACCGTTGTGGTCCTGCGCCGGCACGCTAAGTGGGTTTACCGACACACACACGTAATACCTCATGGTGGCGACAAAAGCAACAACAACAGCCCGGTGGTCCTTGTTGTTGCTGTCTCGA